GAACTCCAGCACCTCGTAGCTGTTGGAGACAGAGCAGAGGATCTCGTGCTGCACCAGCTGGTAGTCGCCCTCACTGTGGGAGTTGCTGCTCTTGGTGGTGGATGTGGAATGAGCCGTGGCATTGCCTCCACCTCCGGCCACACGGTTGGGGAGCACAGGAGCCGACAGCTCCTCCAAAATCTGCACGCTGTCGCTGCTGTCCACCTCCTCACTTTTCCGCTTCAGACTGCCCTGTTTCTGATAGCCCTCACATGTCAGAGAGGTGGAGCCTGTATCTTTTCCACGCTGACTGGATGTGGATGATGACGAGGAGGAGGATGAAGGCTCTGGGATGCTGCCGGTGCTGTCTGCGACACGTACCACTGTCTGTTCCCGCGAGCCTCCAGAAGGAGGTAAGACCAGGTTGGAGGAGTTGTAATTGGGGTTGAATCCAGATGTGGAGGGGGAGGAGCCATTCGGCTGGTTAGGGCTGTGCTGGTGGTAGCTGCTCTCACCCGATTGGCTGCTCACGTTCCATGCATGGTTTTCCAACTTCAGTTTCTTGGAACGGGACAGGCCACTGGAGGACACGGAGGGAGAGGAAAACGCCTGTATTTGTGAGGACATGCCTAAAAAAGACAAAGTGAAAAAAATTTGAAAATAATTTTCTTGCATAACTTAAAATTAAATAATAACTTTTACATTAACTGTTCCCTCCTGGTGGAATGACCTACCCAACTCAATCAGAGCAGCTGAGTCCTTAGACATCTTCAAGAAATGACTAAAAACATATCTCTTCCATCTTCTTTTGACCCTCGAACTCTAGCACTCTCTATTCTAATACTATTTTATCTACTCGTTTTCTTTTTTTATTTAAAAAAGAAGAAAACAAACACTTGACCCTCTAACACTTGCACTCTCTATTCTATTTTAATAAGAAAAAATCCTCTAACACTAGCTTTCTCTATTCTTGTTCTATTCTATCTAATTGTCTTCTTTTTATTTATTATAAAACATGACCCTCAAACACTAGCATTCTCTACACTTTTGACTTGTTTTATTTATTTATTAAAAAAAAATACTATTATGTAATTAAAATACAATCAACTTTTGTCATTTCTTTTTATTTTTCAAGAATTGCATTTTTTATTTATAATTTTTTCAGCTACATTTATACCACCTAGATATTTTTTTCACTTTTAGTTCCTCAAAATAAATAAATAAATACAAACAAACAAGTAAATAAAAAGTTACATTTAATTACATTAAATTGACATTTAATTCATAAATTAAAAAGGTTTATCACAGAGGAGATGCATTCAAGTCATTGTTTATATGGCTAAAATTTTAATGTTTTTTTTAAATAACTTTTAAATAACATTTACATTTTATAAAATAATTTCCATGCAGAACTTAATCATTATTCTGATATTTAACATTACGGTTTAATTTTTTTTTTTATATTTATATTTTGAAACAACTGCTTCACTGCTTATTAAAGAAATAACACTACACAATAGCACAATATTATGCTAAATCCACATGCTTTTCCCCAAGAATTTCAACTTTTTAAAGACACTTTTCAGTTACATCATCATCATTTTTTTTACTTTTTAGCCCCACAAAACTTATCGAAATGACATTTTAATTCAGAAATTAAAGAATGTTCATCATTAAATGTATGCATTCAAGTCATTTGCAATTTTAATGCATTTCCGAATAATCTTAAGACATCCAGACAAAGCCAAGAACAAAACAAACGTCCGTTGCCCTAGCAACCGCTCTAGCTAGGTGATCCAGGGTGGTTGCTGTAGCCAGTTAATTGGGAGGGGTTGTCATGGCAATGGTTGCTACTGTGTGATAAAAAAGAGGTGTGGCGGCGACAAATGTTTCACAAACAAACTATTCAACTTTCATTGTGCCAGTCAAACATGCACTGACATGTACTACTAACATTACCAGTCAAGTTGACTGAGTCAACACACACCGAGACTGTAGTGTCAAATAGTTCGCTGGCTGCGGAAATACAACCTGGCGTGCTGTAATACATGCAACACGCTTCAGAAATCCTCACATTAACTGTCTTTATGCAGTGTAAAATATTTACAGCTGACCTGCTGTGTGTTGAATTCCTCAGCTTGACACTTGTTCCTCATCTCTCCTATTAGGCCTCATTGTTTTCTCTTTTTTATAGAAATGTCCCTCCGTAAAAACGTCGCTTTATTCGAGCCGACAAGCTTCCGGGTGTCTAATATTGTTAGACAGAGTCCAACGCACCGTCAACACCATCGTTACACATTAATATTCTGCAAGGACAGCGCACAGAATTATGACTGAGACCTGGAGAGGAATGTAGGACATTAAACGGACTCCATTTCCGGGGTGTGAGATCAAGCGCTGATTGGCCGGACGCGGGTCACGTGGTGCATAAATCAGTGATCTAGACTTGTTAGTCATGACAAGTAGCTGCGGCACAGTTCGATGCAGTATTAAAAGCATATTGTTTTCCATTTCTGTGTTTTATTAAAAATTTTACATGCATAAACTAAATATATAGTTTTTTTTTATAACGCAAGATGTTTCGTCTATTTGACTACTTTTTTATGTTTAACTAGTCATAAAACCTGCAATATGATGGGTATATAAAATATTTTCAGTTAAAACGCTCATATCTACATAAGTTTCTAATGTTTATAATGCATGTAAGATATGCATGAATGATGATATTAGATGATAAATCCATGGTACAAACAGGAACCGATTACATTGCGTAATCAGATTCCAAAAATTAAGTACTTGTAATTAGATTATATTACATTTTAAAATACTATTGATCAGACTACAGTAATTTTTTTATTGATTTTGCTTTTGCTTTTCATTAAACTCACGAACCACAGTTTGGGAAACCGTGATGTAAAATGATGTTTAATGCACTTCATGTTGTTACTAACATTTTTTTGGAGTATTGTTCATATAGCAAGGTTCTTCAAAAAATACATTGATATTAGCATGGAATAAATATACAATTAGATACCTCATAGTAATTTTTCATTAAATTTCCAGAAAATATACATACACATACATCCAAGATTGTTATCAGCAGTAACTACGAATATGGATGATTTTTATGTGATAGTATTTGCATGTGTATGGCAATTTTAGGGAATTTTTATGCATATTTTTTTTTCATTTTAAGGGACTTGGGAGTGTTCAAATGCACTTACATCTTAGTGGTTGTGAATAACATGTCTATAATGTATATAGTAACATGAGGCATGAGGTTAAGAAGTGTTTTGTTTCTGGGTATTTTAACTGAATTTGTTGATATTGAATCACTGTGTTTTGTCAAATGGCAAGAACTGAATTTGTATAACACACGAAGGACCACTTTCTTTAACAGAATATTATTTATTCAAAATGTAAACACAACATGACTACCTCGGATTACACGCCCCTCTAAAGGAAAGGATATCGATCAACAGTGTTCATGGAGGTGCTGAAAAAAGCATTACTGCTAGTATTTGGGACATCCAAACACTTTGGGGGAGACCAGAGTATACTGGTACAAAGAGAGCATTAATTCCCTCCAAATCCGAATGAGCAGCGACACGACCATTCTGACCCAGAAAGAGATGTTTCGCAGTGCATGTAGGTCTCAGCAATCTAGTCTTAGATTTGTAAGTCTTTGTTGTGAATTATTTGTGCAACTCAAAGTACTTGTCCTAATGAGCACAACCAAAGATGTTACAGTACAACAGGAAAGGTAAGAATGTAATGCATATTTGCCTGCCTATGTTTATATTTCAATTTATTAAGAATTATTGCATAAATCACAACCCTTGAAAAGAAAAGAAGTGCTGTGTATCGTGAAAGCAAAGTAGTGCTGACAATCCTACATATTGCACAAAAACAATTTAGTGTTACATGGCCTGGAAAAAAAACGAGTTCATATGCTTTTCTTTTGGCCGACTGTGACCCCCTGCGAAAGAAAGTTAATGTACACTTGGAGCGCTGCATCACAGACAAACAAGAGACAAATAATTCATTTTACACCGCTTCTTTCCTGGCCTAACTGGTTGTTACGGTTGGCGTAGCGTAAGTGAGCACAAATGCATTTAAGAACAAATCTCCATTGGTAAAGCGTTTTTACAGTTGAGCCATTTCCATCAAATAAAATAGTCAGGGATTTTCGTCACAGCAATAAATGGTGCCTCACACTTCAGAAATGTATTTTATTCTGTTGTTGCTGTTTTTAAGGAATGATGGGCCTTTTTTCTCTTTTAATCTTTCACATAAAAACTCACCTATATGCACAGATTCTAAAATCTTAGTTTATTGAGAAATGTGAAAAACTGCTGATTCAGGCTTTTAAAAAAGCCCACTCGGATTCATTTCACGGTCACATGACGTTGTCCTCTTCTGGGAATTGGGTAAGGTAGAAAATTTGCTCGTTTTAAAATTTCCTTACATGTTAATAAAGCCATCATTTCACGTGACCTTGACCTTTAAGTGGCCGTGTTACACCAAGATCTGGTTGTCGCCACTACGGAGGAAATCACCAAGCTCTCAATTTCATTAAGGGGACACTGCTTCATTTTATTTGGTTGTGAGAAAACCCTTTTGATTTCTCGCTACCTATTTTGGTCGTGAGAACAGCACCAGCCTTTCGTCCCTCCCGTCGGCGTTATTATTGGGCGATTCATTCCTGCGCGATGCTCCGCAGAACGTACTTGACCGTGTAGGCGAAAGCGGCGAAACCTACGATGACAAACAAATTGGCGAGCGCTCCGCCCAGGAGTCCATGGTTTCGGTTGACCTGCTGGAGGTCGGGTGGGTGGGCCGCGCCAGGGGGCAAGTGCCCGTTCATGGGCAGGTGCCCGTTTTGCGCATGGTGGGCTTCGCCGTCCGGCACCACGTCAGGGAGGGGCAGCGCTTGTGAGCGGGACCTGAGCTCCTCCTGCATACGCTGCTTCTGCTTGATTTCCTGTTTAAAGGGGGGTGAAAGGGATCAAGTGTTAATATATTTGTTATAAGAATGTGTTTACTGCTCGCGCATACATCTGTGAGGCAG